AGCTGAAGGCTGGTTGGTCCGTAACAATACGGTGTGGACCCGGAGACCAGGGTAATATCCCGCCGGATGCTACCTCGAAGGTCGCGGACTAGGTACCGACCGTCCGTCCGCCTTCGCGTGCTCTGCAAGTCGTTGCGTTGTAGCGGTTCGACCGTTCCGAGGGGCGGAAAGGACGAAGTCCAGGCAACACTCACCAAACGACCTAGACCCACGAAAAAACATGGCACACGATCAGGGTAAGCCGTGACGTGTGTCTTGAGTGCGTTCAGGATTCACCTAGCAACGACACTGCCATGAGAAGCGTTGCAGCACAGGCTATGTCTCAGTCAGACACGAGCGAGTCAGCTACTCTAAGAGGCGCGTGGCAAAAGACACCAGACTTCCTTCGTTACGCATCCATTGAGCACTTTGCTAGTTGAGACGCGATGCGCTGGTTGCCAGCTCCTGGATCTGCCTTGTCGACAAGTGCTGCGACTTTCACACCCGGCATACCTGCGGCAGGCAACCGTTTTGCAATCGGCGTGCCTGGTGCGGCCATGCTGCCGAAGCCTGGGTGGGCCTCGGACAGTGCGCGAACTGTTGGGGGCCGTGCGACGGTAATGGCGCGCTGAAACACTGAGCAGAAGGTTATGCCACTCACTAGTTGATTACGCCCGGTGGCAGCTTGGCCAATAGGGCTACTATCTGCTTATTTGACATTCTTGTTAGGCAGTCCTTCCCTGGCTGGCTGAGCATCCCTGTTATGTCCAATTTCTCCTTTGATCTTCTGCCTTTCTGGCTGCATTACCGTCGCACTACGGGGTCTCGTGGGATTGTATTATTAGCAAGCAAACTTGAAGGCTATTCTTCAAGTGTTCAGAGTCCTATCTACGGCGACTGAAGCGGTGCCTGCTGTTTGTGGCACGAGGCGCTAGGTGTGGGTTAAGTTGGAAAAGGAGGGTGGGTGGTGGCTATCGCCTGTTCAGTCTCGTTTGTTGTCAAGCCGTCCTGTGGCTAACGTAAATCGAATTGTCGCTCGAACTGCCGTCATGTTTGGTGTCCATTTTGCGTCGTCCGACAGTGACTTTCCTCCGAGGCAGAAAGAGAGATTACCCATTTGTGCCTCATTGCTCCGTAGGATTTCAGCGCGCTGTTCTGTCCATTTTGCGCAGTGGAACAGGAAATGCTCCACCGTCTCCTTGGCGTATCCGCATGCGCATTGCTGCGACGGTGCTGCCGCGATGTTGTTGAGATAGCCATTTAGCCTCGATATGCCCGTTCTGAGCTGTGCCAGTACGTTTGCCTCTCTCCATGACAATCTGTCGTACAGCTCCAACGTATGCTTGCCTGTAAGTGCAGCGTCAACTTTCTTCGAAAACCTTCCGACATCATCTGGTATGTGCTTTACGATGCAGTGATTCGATCGAGCCACACTGAGCGTCGTCGATCGCATTCTTGGGAATTTGAGCGTCGGATTGGCGCCTTCCTTGGTGGCATCGCGCGCCTGTACCTTGGCACACTGTAGAAGCCTGTTTTTAGCGCTGGCGGGTATCCACAGGACAGCCACCATGTTTCCGTTGCGTCTGAGTGCTTCGATGGAGTCATATATGCATCCAACATACTCTTGGCCGGACTGCCGGCGAGGGTTGCGGAGTGTGAGGGCGGCCGCTTTGTTGCTCGTCAAGAGTGCAATGCTGCGGTACCGCAGCTCTGGCAGGCGCCGAAGGCCACATGCCATGGCCGCTAGCTCCCCGGAAAACGGATTCTGCTCTGTCCTCATGCCGAGTGTGAAGGAGAAGGGCTCGACCTTCGGTCCTCCCCGCACCGACGCCGGGAGGTCGACGACGGCGCCGACTCCTACTAGTCCGTTCCGTGCTGAGGTGCTCACCGAGACGCGAACTGCCCAACCTAAGTCCGCCCGCGCCGCCGCGGTCGCGTCTCCGTCGTTCATGATGGCTTGTAGTCGCTCCGCCCACGGAGACAGTGTGAATGGATTGATCGTTTCCAATTCTTCCATGGGGATCTCATTGAGCACAGTCGCCACTTGGTAAAAGGGCGAGCGTCCGTACCGTCTGAACTTCTTGACTCTGGACGCCGCATTGCGAAGTGGGTTCGTTGGTGGCAAGGTGTGTAGGTTAGTCCACATCTTGATTGTCCGCCTCCAGAACCGCCCTTGCACGCTGGCAATGCTCGCTTCCGCCTCCGCTACGCTCGTTGCCACCGTGAGAAACGTGCTGTAAGGCGCATAAGTACGGCGAAACAGAGAGTGAAGAACGGGAGGCGATCGGATGCAATTGTTGATCTCTGGCCCTCTTCCTTCTCAGAAGAAAGAGGGACCCCTTTTCTATCCAGCAGTCCCAAGTGTTCCGGGTAAGCTTTTATCCAACGCGACTCATTTGGTACATCAGCCTCTCGGCCTTTCCCCAAGTCTTCCGCATACTCGGATAAGCCTCTATCCAACACGACTCAGGTTCATGGGCGCGTGACA